ATAATTGAAATATACATATTAATATTACTATAATTTATATATATAATATAATATACATAATTAAAATATACATATTAATATATATTAATATACATATTATAAAACAAAATTGAAATAAGTATATTTATAAATATATATAAATATATATAGATAAATATATAATTGAGTGGATTTTTTTCCACCAACAACCTTGACTAAGGCGTATAACTAACTTAATAACTGGTTTGTATCCGATTCTCGTTTTTAAATTATATTAATATTAGTATGTATATTATATATATTATATCAATTGAAATAAATATATATGTTTATATATAAATATTAATATTTTGTTTAAAATATATTTTGTTCAATATACTTTGTCTGCTTAAAGGACATGGTTCCAGACTTCCATTTCCTCCCTCCATCCATGTCCAGACTTCAATCAATTTTAAACAAATATTTTTGGTGGCTTTGAGACGGTCCAAGAGCCCGAGAAAGCCAGTAGACTTAGTAATAGTGCAGCTGCAGGCTTGCAGCTCATGCCATCATGATTGAAAGAATTGGTGGAGCGGCTGCAAATTTTTGAGAAGATTTCAGCCGTGCAAACTTCTGCGGAGCCTGCGAAGATGTCAGTAGCGGCCGTGCACAGTGAGCACGGCCGGTATAGTTTGAGAAATCCCTTATGTCAGAGCTTCATTCGGTGGATAATTTTTTTTTATACGTATATTCTGAGAAATTAGCCAAGATTTTAGTTACAAGATGTCTAAAACATTTTTCCTTCTTGTCGCATTATTCAGTGAAGCTGGACCAAACATAAGATTTTAGTTACAAGATGTCTAAAACATTTTTCCTTCTTGTCGCATTATTCAGTGAAGCTGGACCAAACATTACAGTAATCAATAATGGATATCCTTGAATTCAACTTTGAACATTCGCAAGTTGAGAGTGATCCATTTGACTTAACTTGCACAAGTGATCCATTTGACATTAGACTATCTTAAAGGTCAAAGCACCGCTTTCATTAAATAGTTAGTGTGAATCTTCATAGACATTTCTTACGCGTGTAATAATAGATTTCGCTGTTTTAGAAAAATGATTTAATTTGGATTGTTAATTTTTAAATTTTTGTAAAATATATATATATTGTAAGAGTTTGATATATATATATATATATATATATGAGATAAAAAAAAGTAATTAAAAGATATGTCTACGAAAAATGTGAAATTTTTTTTAAATAGAAGATTGCAATCCAAATATCTTGTGCTTTAAAGATCCATCATGGTTCGCGGCACGGAAGCGAACACGCTGTAATGTCGTGAAGAAAGAAAGAGCAAACTGGACAAAGCAAAGTGGTTGATTCTGTTGCACTGCTGGCACGATATTGTTGGACTTGGACGCTACGCAACTTTTATTTTTATGATCCATTTTGCTAATAATTTAGATGTACGGATAATTTAGATGTACGATAATCCCTAATTTTGACCCGTTCTATTCTAAGTGCTTAAACTGCACACTTGAAAAATTAAAATATTCTCAAATAGTGAAAAGTTTATGATTGTCCAACAACAAGTGCTTAAAAATAAATATAGACGGAAAACTAATAATACTTTTGTGATCATCAATTGTCTTCTTCTTCTTCTTCTTTTTTTTCTTTTTGGCTTGATCGTCTAGTGACCTAACAATGCTAATTGCTTTGGAAAAAGTGAAATCTTTATAGTGAGAGGACAAACAACTTGATTCTCAAGCTAAAGAATTATTCGTTGGTACTATGATTTATAAATTTATAACTGATCCAATTTGTTCTTCCTAGCAAGCCTCGCATGCTCTCCAACAAAGGTGACTGATAAATTCTTCAATAGTTAAAGGGATAATTTTAGAAACCTCCCCTGAAGTTTCTAACAATTTCATTGATCTTTCCTAAGGTTTTGAAAATGACATAAACCTCCCCTGAACTTATAGTTGTAGTAACATGATCAGCCCATGTCAGAAACATGAGCATTAAAAAGGTATTTTGAAGAGTGAGATGATATTTGTGTTCCATAAATGCCCTTTCTGCTTATCCACAACTTGTATTAGTAAATAATGAAAAATATTAAAAGACATAAATAATTAGTAAATTCTAGCAGGTGTAAGAGCTATTAGAAAAAATGCCGTAGCAACAACTTGAAGTTCCAGTTTGCACCAATGGCTAGTGCAATGGCCATATTTTTAGTTTTTTTCAAAAGCATATAATCGGCTCAAGCAACTAAAGAAATAATTTATTTTTAGTGTGATTATCTAATTTCGAGGTAATAAAAAGTGGCAAGGCTGGAACAACCAAAGGCTATAGTTAACATGATACTTATCATAAATATCACACTAGGTGTTGTATTTATATTCATTCAAATTATAAAATCAATTGGATAAACTCTTGTAATAAATGTAAAAGTGCCACGACATTGTACCAGCCATTTTAAGTCTTTTCTAATTATATAAGAAGCAAACCAGTAGTACTTGTCAATTAGATTGTATTTGGAAGAAATGCATGACTGTTATTTGATGACTACTACTCTAACTTTACTAAGAGATAATAAACAACAACATATTAGTTGAACTAGTTAGTAAGACAACATAAGTCACTTGACGTTAGTTCAAAATTGCTATAATTGCAGCAGTTGTAGTACTACAAAACTATTGCTGCAATCCAAGATAGTTTCAAAACACCATCCGCCCCAAAAGAATGAAGCAGGTGGTAAGGATTGCAAAGCCAAATTTCATGACCATTGATTGTTTGTCACTAATGCCAACCATATACAAAAGCATGAGTAGGTAGCATGTCAATAATCTTAATGCAAATCAACAGATTTTAACCTGAGGGGAGCCATGCTTTTCTCCTTCCTTTCCCTCCATTTTTCTATCTTCCCCAAGTTTCCGTATAAGACTATCCTTATGTTGCTCTCTGAAGTCATGTCGAATCACAAGAAAATGGCATCATATTGGTATATCAATTAGTGCCATTTCTTAAGTGCAGTTACATTGGCTTATTAGAGATAGAACCACGGTTAATATCATTTAATTAGTTCATTTATTTAATGACTAATTATATTTTTCCAGAAATTCGTTTCTTATCAGCCTTTTATGCATTAGGGCAAAGCAGTAAATTCATTCTAGGTTACATCAGCAATGGCCCCAAAATCAGTTGAGGGGAGGTCAGTGTTATTTTCGAAACCTTAGGGGAGGTCAGCGAAATTGTCAGAAACCTCAAGGGAGGTTTCTAAAATTATCCCATAGTTAAAATCAGATATTGTGTACCAGTTGACTATGATGGATCGGCATGGAACCTTTCAACCCAATTAATCACTTCAGCCCAAAGTAAACGCAACGTCGTCTAGTCCACTCTCCATTTAATGATTGGAGCCCAATAGCCCGGTACATGGGCCGTGTATATATGTATGATATGTCAACGTGTTTCCCATTTTTGGGGGGTTTGTTGTCCAAAGTGTCAACTGCCAGCCATGGGTGATGGGTGGGACTATTCTCTCGCAAATATACAATGTTAGGCTGCCAATTCTGGACCGCCAACATAAAACTCCACCAAAAAAAAGAAAAAGAAAAAAGAAAAATTTATGCGCAGTAAAATAAGACCACCCGGACTTGAAGAAACAGGGTAAAATCAATAATAAACAGACCGAGAGCAATCAGAGTTCGAGATGGAATTTGCATTTTCACACTACATAACAAATGCTGCTCGCTTTATTTATGTGATACAATTTCAACGACATGGTGTACTTTTTTTTTTTGTTATATTTAACATATTTTTCCTCAAGAGGAACAGGTCTTCCCAGCCGCCACCGCGGCCAAAGCCAATCTGAGACTGAAAGAGAACAAGGGACGGCAAGAAAACATCATTAAAAAAGGCAAAAGATGTAGACTTTTGCATTTTTTTTTTGCAGTTCCTCGCATGACCCTTTATACAGATAGCACCGTCCCTTAAAACTTCAGGGGGATCTACTGAAATGATATACAGGTAAATAAATACATGCTAATCTACGTTTCTTGCTCAACAGCGGCAACACAAAAACAGTACAGGAAGAAAACAGCAGAATTTTATGTTTCGTGGATTACGGGCATATTTGGAGTTGGACCCAAGCCCGCTGTACCTTCTTCCTTGAGATATTCCAAGTATCTGGAGAATTCTGGATTTGCTGTGGCTTTCTTTCTCAGACGGGGATCAAAGAGGTTAAACATCGGGTGAATCTTGCTGACCGTCCTGGCTTGTTTTGCAGCAGATTTTTCTTCAGCAGTCTGCCCTCTTGTTGATTTCTGCTGCGAACCAAATAGTTTTGCAGGCAAGCTCCTGGATTTGTTCAACTGAGCTTCCAAAACAGCACTAGACTGGCCGCCCTCCTCTATCTTCTCATAACGCCGTCCATTTCGTGTGCTCAGAGCTCTCAACATGGCTCTTCAACGAAGAAAAGCACCACGGGGTTTTTGCTTGAATAAAGAAAGAATTCTTATTTGGTGCAGCCGGCAGAGGAGCGAGGACAAGCACAAGAGGAAACTAAAAACTGCAAATCTGACGCCAAATAATGAAACTCACGCATCCGTTTTTATGCTTGTGAGGACTGAGGCGCTTCTTTGTTGAAATTTTCAACATATGCATTAACGTAGATTAAATGCTCACGTCATCGTAGTAGAAAATGGATCACAAGTTGGGCTCCTCTTAGTTGACTTTTTAGTGCAACTGCCAACCACCGGGAGGACATACATAAATGTTGTGTGGAGCCTATTCCTACGGTATTTTACAATTGCTGCTTCCGTCTCAATCTCATCGCAAGCAAATGCTGAGGTGACAAGTACCAAACACAGAGAAATGAGTCTGAATCCGTCGGGTGAAAAAGAAAAACATACAAATTATTCAAAAAGTTCCAATCATTCAAATTTGAGACTAAGCACCCACCCTCCAATTAGTGCTCCTCTCTACAAAAGCAGACTAAGTCAAGACACACCATAAACCAATCAATAATCTATCAAAGTTAAAAAGAAGGATCAACGCGTGACTTGATTTCTAGGAGAGAAAGTGGAGGCAGAACACGACTTCATCTAAAAGCGTCCAGCTCAAACATTAGAAGAAGTGCAGACAAATCATATTCAAAGATCACTATATATTAAGAAAGAAACCCTCCGACTATTTCTGGACAATAATTAATTGCCAAACAGGATAACAACTATACTGTCATGACATAACAAATTTGTGTACTAAACGTAGTAATTCCTTAGCAAAACCTCCTGTAGATTTCCAAAACTTGCTGTCCCAGAATGTTCATGCTCAATTTTATCACCAAACTTGTGCATAGTGACCCAACTACCTCCTCCTCCCTTAATTATTCCCCTTCTCTTCATAATGCTCCTCAACTCATCAACTGAATCCCATCTTCCAATGGCTGCAAAAAAGTTGGAAAGTGCTACGTAATTCCCTGGGTTATTTGGTTCCAATTGAATGAGGCATTTAGCAGCAAATTCACCTCTCTCAACATCTAGGTTAATTCTGCAGGCATTCACTACCGCTGCCCAAACTGCAGGAGAAGGCTTAATATTTTTGTCTACCATACCAGGGAAAAGAGACCACGCTTCTTCAATTTGACCAGCTCGGCCCAGTATATCTATAAAGCAAGCATAGTGCTCTGGAGCTGGCACTAAGCCATACTTCTCCTGAAACATGTAAAAGTACTTGCGGCCCTGTTCCACTAGACCCGAATGAGCACAGGCCGATAAAACAGCTAGAAATGACACAGAGTTTGGCAACACATTAGTATTTTCCTTTCCTTCCATCCTCTTGAATAAATCAATAGCTTCAGCCCCACAGCCATGAACACCATATGCGTCTATCATGCTCGTCCAAGACACCACATCTTTTCTAGCTATTCTGTCAAAAACTAAACTTGCCTCCCAAATTTTGCCACATTTAGCATACATATCTAACACTGCATTAGACAGTTGAGTATCATGAGTAAATCCTTGACGTATAACGACTCCGTGTATCTGCTTCCCAATCCAAATATCCGAATTCTCAGAACAAGCAGATAGGGCACTAGTAAGTGCCACAGCGTTAGGGCGAATTAAACTCATAATCGACAAAGCTGCATCATATCTTTTATTACGAACACACCCAGAAATCAAGGTATTGAACATAACATCATCCGTTCTGCAGCTGAGGGTACGATAGATTTTCATTGCTGCATCAATCTGGCCCAAGTGCGAATAAAAATTAATCAAAGCAGTGCTCAGGACGACCAAATCACGGCCCATTACTATAACTACGGCATGAATTTGCTTACCCTGCTGACAAGCTCTAGAGGAAGCACAAGCTTTAAGCGCAGAGCACAAAGTAAATTCACTGAACTCCACTCTTTCCTTCCTCATATCCGCAAACAATTCGAGGGCTTTTCGCGGCAACCCGTGGCGCAAATAGCTGGAAAGAATAGCATTCCAAGCGACCACATCTCTGTAACGCATCTCATAAAATGCAGAAACCGAGTCTCCCAGCTGCCCATATTTGGAGTACAGGTCGATCAGGGCAGTTTTGGGCACTATCTCACAATCCACTCCCAATTTGATCATCAAGGCGTGAACTTGGTGCCCACGTTTCGGGTCTAGAAGCGCCGCGCAGGCAGTCAAGACGGGTGTGAATGTGTAGGAATTGAGATCAGTGCGGGTGCAGTGCATTTTAAGAAAGAGATCCCACGTAGCAACAGCTTCCCCATTGCGTGTGTGGGAGTTGAGCAGAGAGTTGAGGGAAGATATATCTTTCTGGGGAATTTCATCGAACAGGTGGTGATGGATATAAGTATCGAAAGTTTGACGCCTGAAAATATTTATTTTTGAGAAATAGTTAATGGAGCTTTTCCCTGGTAGTACTGAATAACTGGGGAAAAGTTTGAGTCTCAACATTTAACGTGGCAGCATTGCGTAAATAAAACAAATGTACTCATAACATTAAGGAAAAAAAAAAAGAAAAAAAGCACGCATGAAACAAGCAATCATTGTTTACCCACTTTGGTAGTCAGCGCATAAGACTAATATCCAGCTTTGTTGTGATGTTTTAATAGGTACAACTGCGGCCGAAAATATACGAACTAATAATAATAATAAAAGAGACACCAAATTATATCCTTCAAGAAAAAAAAAAAAAACTTTTTTTCCTTTGATTGTAGTCTAGAAGTTTTCAATAGTTTGTTGAAGTCCAAACCGTGAGAGTGGTTTGTGTTATTTACCCTGAAAAAATTTGATAAGGCCAGACACATGAACAAAGGCCTTGTTCTCAATTCATAAACAAAGGCCTAATTTAGTTTTTGATTCCCAAAAGATCATTTATTTATGTTTGGAAAATTCTATTCTAAACGAATTACTATAAATTACGATTCATAAGACAGGCACAACAAATTACTGAAACCTGATTTTGACTTTTTTGAACCAGGTAAGCCCAATTCAGTAGCCTTCTTCAAGTTCATAACCTAGGCAAATTGTCCAAACTTGGATAAGCAAGAACAAGCAGCAAAGACTGGCATAATTACGTCAACACAACAGAAATCCCAATTTGAGGTGCTGTGGCTTTTATGCATGTGGGATTTGGAATGTAATTATCGAAGAAAAATGGAATGAGAAAAAAAAAAAAAAAAGGATACGAGGAGAAGACCTGCCTAGCTACAATTGGGATTCTCTTTCTTTGGTAGGAATGAGAATGGAGCAATCTAAGATGCATATATAAAAGCCTAAATTGACAAGAAGCTTGAAGAATTGTATTTGATGAAGGACTTACCACCTAACCCCAAACAAAGATTTGTAGAAACTTTTCTTCTGATCTTACGCCAAGCGACCCATTAATAATAATACATTAATATCCTGGGCACTCTTTTAATACTCCATCTTCTTTGTTTTGTTGAAAGAGTTGAAACGAGGACAGTGAAAGTCAAGAAACATGTTTGATGGCTACATGATCCTTCCCCAGAGAGAGAATAAAAAATAAGACCGTAGAAGACTGCATAATCAAGTTGAGAAGTAGTAGTATTTGTTTACTTTATCCACATCGGATGCTGTATTTCCAACCCCGGTTTCCTTGTCCATGATTCATGCAGAGTTTTTTACACTACACAGTAAATATTCAGCCACAAAATTCTAAAATATAGGACTCCTAAATATGTGGATGTACATAATTATAGTACACACGGAAATAAAATAGATTTTGAGTTTCGTGGTTAATTTAGAGGAAAACCCCACTAGTGGGGTTCGCAATAATTGCTGAGTTTGAATTAATTTAGCTGCTACAGTTCCCCTTCCATCCTCCAGCTACCATTCAAGGGCAGCCTCCATCTTAACAGGTAGCTAAACGGTGCGTTGAGCACGTGCAACTGCTGCCAAAAACGTAACCAGTTCAGTAACATCATACTTGAAGGCTGCAGCTTAGAGATATATATAATGAGGCCATCCTCCACCCTTCTAACTCGCCAAACTCCCCAGGGTTTTAGCTTTTCTTCTGCATATATAATAGTCATTAGAGTTTCCAGCTTGATTTTTCATCTTCTACCTTTCTTGAAATGGAAGGAGATATTGCAACCTCTGCCGCGGCAAAGGGCACCGTTTGTGTCACGGGAGCCGCTGGTTTCATCGGATCATGGCTTGTTATGAGACTTCTTGAACGTGGCTATGTTGTCCGGGCCACTGTCCGGGATCCAGGTCACAACATTTCTGCAAATCTTTTACATGCCCATGTACATGTGGTACTCCTACAATTGACTCGTGTTGCTTACTTGGTATTTACTTGCTTACTAGGGAATATGAAGAAAGTAAAACATTTGCTAGATTTGCCTAAAGCCAGCACGCATTTGACGCTGTGGAAGGCGGACATGACGGAAGAAGGAAGTTTCGATGAAGCCATTCAAGGCTGCGAAGGGGTGTTTCATGTGGCCACACCCATGGATTTCGACTCTAAAGACCCTGAGGTGTGCATGTATACATATGTGTGTTCATAGCTCAAGAGTAAAACAAAACATGCCACCTCTTTTTTGGGTTGAGGTGGCAACAATCTAATTCTGATTGTCTTGTTTTTGCTGTATTTGGTAGAGGAAAAGGATTCATAACTGATCAAGGCGAGCTAGCTATAGTTATTGATAAGGTAGCACTAATGATCATACCTTTGAATGTGACCTGATATCCTATTAGAACAATGGTTGGTGAAAAGTGAGTTCCATGTACATCAAGAAACACTAGCAAATGATGTAGAAGCTGAAATTTCCAGGAATTCTACGCCTTACTTTAGCAGTCGCGATTGATTTGTTTTTAGAAAAGAATGTGTAGTAAACTCTGATCAATCTTTTTGGGTGTTCATGTGCTAGAACGAAATAATCAAGCCAACGATCAATGGCTTTTTAAGCATCATAAGATCATGTGTCAAGGCAAAAACTGTCAAGAGGCTGGTTTACACTTCATCTGCTGGAACCGTCAACGTTCAAGAACACCAACAGCCCGTCTACGACGAGACCAACTGGAGTGATTTGGACTTTATATATTCGACGAAGATGACAGGATGGGTCCGTATTTTATCTCCCATACTTCTCTTGATAAATTAGTCACACCAAAAAAAAAAAAAAAAGAAAGGTTGAGAGAAATCATCATCAACTGATCATCACTGTAATTTCTCTCTTTGAACAGATGTATTTCGTTTCTAAGCTTTTGGCTGAGAAAGAAGCCTGGGAGGTCTCGAAACAGAGCAAAATTGATTTCATAAGCATAATACCAACGCTAGTCGTAGGTCCATTCATCATGCCTACATTCCCACCCAGCCTAATAACTGCACTTTCCTTGATCACTGGTAATAACAATTAAAGTGTATTCCGTTTCCTTTCTACAAAAGGAAATCATCTCCTCAAAAGTTGGAGCTTTATTGTTCTCAACCTTATTCTGCAACAGGGAATGAAGCTCACTACTCAATTATTAGGCAAGGCCAGTTCGTCCATCTGGATGATCTTTGCGAGGCCCATATATTCTTGTACGAGGATCCTACCGCCGAAGGAAGATACATCTGCTCTTCTCATGATGCCACTATTCATGATTTGGCAAAATTGATCAGGGAAAAATGGCCAGAGTACTCTATCCCTGAGTAAGCCTCTTGCAATATTCCCTTCTTTAATTTGGCTCTTTATACTACTTGAGTTCATCTGCTTACTTCTATAAGTTGTACTCTAATTTCTACATTTTTTATGTATAATCTATCCTTCGATACAATAAGGTTAAAGGGCATAGACAAGGACATACCCGTGGTATCCTTTTCTTCCAAGAAGTTGGTAGGCAAGGGCTTCCAATATAAGTACACCTTGGAGGACATGTTTCGGGCGGCCATTGACACATGCCGTGAAAAGGGTTTGCTCCCCTATTCTACTCAAACCCATGAAAATGGAAAAGAAAAAGAATCACTTCCTGTTGCCACCAAGGACCAGGCGAACGGCCAAGTCAACGGCTCACTTCCCGTTTCCGCAGAAAAATAGCGCCATTGACTTTTTCTAAGTACAAGAATAAGATGGAGGGCGACAAGGCAAAGTGTTTTTCAGCGGTTGATATTCATTTCTGAGCTATTATCACACGAGGATGATGAAGCAGTGCGCTGCTTTTGTAACATTTCGCAATTTTAATTCAATCAAAATCATCTGAGTTGCGCGGTTTTGCTGTTAAACACTTCTGTGACATATTTTGTTCCCTCATACTGCTTAAATGTGCATATAATGCATCTGAAACTTCATTTCTTTTTCGCTAAAAAAGTAAAAAACAAAAAAAAAAATTGAATTAGAGGTCTTAGCTTATTGCCCAATTTGGTGATGAGGACTTCAAGAAATAAAAGAGAGAGAGGGAGAGAGAGAACCGCATGAAAATTAAAACGCACCGGTTAGTATGTGTTGATTGACCCCTTTTGAAGTTGATTGATTTCCTGTATCAAGTTTTCCAAGTCTCTGAATTTTGCTGCTGCATTCAACTACAATTGCCTAAATTGGCTCGAGTTCTTTGTTAGTTTTGTGTAAGCCCCGTGAGAATAATACTGGCTCTGTTCATTAATCTTCTTCCTCAGCAGCCATAACCCAACGATGCGATCTTTATTAGAAAAATTACGACTACTACTAAGTCGTTGCCGCCGCAGCAGCAGCAGCCAAATGAAAAGCCAATTGTGGTTTCAAGGTCAGGGTTAGCAGCGAGAAACACAAAGGGCAGTGCACGTTGATAATGCTGCTCATTTCGGAGGTTGAGCCCATATCCTGTTCTTCATGATCATCTTCAGCTGGCAATCGGCAGCTAAACTCCCAAGTCCTAAATTTGTTTTAAAAGTGGAGAAGAAGGCATACATGTAACTGGTGACACATGAGTAACTAACTAGCAAGCTAAGACAATCATGCGACTGGTACATCTCAATCGGCAAGTATACTACTGCATCTTCTGGATGCCCAGAGTCAGCTCAAAAGCTTCTGGTATGAATCTCCAGTTTCAATTTTCTTAGCGACTATTTCAATAATTTTGAGCAGCTCGGTTACAATCTTCATTATGTAAGATAATGTCATGGTTCTCTATTCAAACTATTCCTCCGTGGTGTGACAGACTTGCCATTCTTAGAAAACGGATAAGTGAAAGAATCAACCTCATAAAAGACATGGGGAGAGTTGCAATTTCTTAAAGCCTAAGAATATACAAAAAGAAAAGAGAAATCATAATTTGGATATACAAGAAAAGAATGTCCATTTCTTTTGAGGGAAACGAAGAGAGTTTACTTGCTTGAACAGTAAATTACAAACTCAACTGTGGACCAGCAGATGGTATTTACTACCATTCCTCAGAGTTAAATGTGTTCCAGGCTTCCTATAGACAGGCGAAAAGAACTCTTAGAGCGACGCCAGTTGAGGATATCAAGTAAACATTCATGGCCAACATCAACTACCAACACATAACCAGTTCACTAAAGACATAAAAATAGTCATAGTATATGACAGCAAAGCATTTGGTCAAAATGAAAGAAGTGTAAACCACCTAAATTTCAGACAAAAGTACGTTTAACACAAGTCACCAGCAACTTACCTTCAAAAGATCAAACACTTTCTCACATATATACTTCTGTTGAATGCTAGCACCACGTTGTTGTAATTTGTCAGGGTGAACACAAAGAGTGGCCTTCCTGTAAGCTTTCTTTACCGCTGCAGAAGTTATAACTTCAGTTAATGGAATTGGCTGCCAACCACAATCTGGCCCAAGAATCTGCCAATAAAAAAATTCCATATCAGTTAATGATATTAACAGATCATTGACAAGTTGCCTTAATGCATAGCTGTTTTTTTTTTTTTTTTTTTTTTAAGAAAGCCAGCTATTCAAGGTACATTTAACAAGGATGGATTATCTTACATATTGCAACGTCGAAAGCAGCGCCCGAAGATTCCCTTCTTTCCCACTTGACCATCTCTTAACTTCAGCATCCAGACTCTCCGCTAATCTCTGAAGAGGTATCTTCATGTAAGAAACAAGCAAAATTAAGTAGTACACAAGAATGTACTCATGAAAAGGATGCATACATTCCTCTCTGCTTGTTCTCTTTGGGCAAGAAGATCACGCATGTTTTTCTCAGCCAAAGCTTTCGCCTGAAATGGTACCAAAACTATTATTAGATCATAAATGTTACAACAGAAAGTTCGGAAAAATATCACAATATGAGCTCAAAAGACGAAGCTGGAAAGGAAACCAAGCACATACTGCACGTTCTGCTGTTCTACGATATCTCTCCAATCGAGCTTTGCACCTCTGAGGTGATTCACCTTCGAGTCCTACGATTTTTTCAATGTTTGGTTAAGCAGCTTAAAGCAGAAACAATGTGGATTTCTCAAAATAAGAAATACTTTCCCGGAATTGAAAAAAGCATTAACATCACAAGTAAACAAACCTACAGAAAAGAAAATTGTTTACAGAGTCCAAAAGTTACTTTCTCATATATACACGACACATACCAGCATGGGCTGTAGAATATGAATATCGCAACACATTTGAAGTTCCAGCACTCTGTGACTGAAAGTCCGGTAGATCCTGCAATTATAACCCAATTAATTGGCAACAATTATGTAATTAACAGAAAAACAAATGAAAATACACTCACATGGAAGGAAGAGCTCTGTCTCATTTCAACAGTTTTGGAAGAAGCAGAGTATTTATCAGAAACTGATCTTTCTACTCTTTCTCGTGCTTCAAAGGAAACCTTGTCAGCCATTGCTTTTTCAAAAGCACGTTGCCTAGCCTCTAGAGTAGCTCTTTCTACTGCAGCACGCTCGGCCCTGATCCTTGCCTCCACAGATGCCTTATCAGGTACAGATCTCTCCCTAGCCTCGAAAGATGCCTTCTCTAATTTTTCTCGAGCCACAGACATTGCTCTTTGCCGAACTTCAGCAGTGGGTCTTTCAACAGCAGCTCTTTCTGCTCTTCCACGGGCTTCAGCATATGACCTATCACGAGCTTCCAGGGTGGCTTTATCAACAGCCATCCTGTCCTTTTCTCTTTCCCTCTCTCTCTCCCTCTCTTCTTCCATCTTTCTTAGAAGCTCTTCTCTTTCCGTTTGCAATCTTTCTGCTATTTTATTATCTTCCTGAGCAACAGTCTCATTCAGATTCTTCTCTTTCCTTTCGACATTTTGGCCGCATCTTTGACCTGCATTGCATCCATTTTCTCTGTCTTCCCGTACAGTTGATAAGCCAGCTCCAATTACCTGTACATTATCAGCCCACATGCATGGTTGACATGGCCTAACATTGTCCTTCAAGGATTCCTTGTTGATAGTGATCTGAACACCATTGTTCATCTTCACCCTCCAGCCTTGTTCATGACTTGCTACTGCTGTGATCTCAGGATCACATGCCCTTCGGGAGACTTCTTTTTCCTGTAGAGATGAGTTTTCAATGCCAGTGCCAGCTTCATTAGAATCTATCCCATGCTCATGTAAATATGGACAATTGTTGACATCCACTGTTCCTTTTTCAAGCTTTTGACATCGCAACTCATTCTGAATCTTGCCAAATGAGTGAGATTTATTTTCAACTAGAAGATTAGCTGCTCCTTGATGGAGTCCCAATTCACCATCTTTTGCTCCAGTTGGAAAATCATTTTCTTCATATGAAAAAGATTCTTGAATTGTTTCCAGCTCTCCACAATTCTTATCAAGCTTCCCAGGTAAAAAGGGAGCATTCATCTCATCAGTCAGTTTGCCTGTCTCTCCAAATGCCTTGATATTCTCCCTTTCCATGGGCAGGTTAGTTACTTGATCCAAATTCCCTTGCTTGTCCTTGTCATCCCTCATAGACTGCTCTGCATCTTTGACATGTCCACAAAACTCTTCATGCTTACCAGCCTCTTCACTTACATGTATGCTTTTTTCTGATGCATTAGCTACTATGGAGACATCTTCAACATCTTCCACAAAAACCATGTTTGATCCATTATTGTTGTCTTCCTGCTCTTCAACCTCTTCAACTTTAACCTCACCCTTGCCTGGTTCACAAGCATCACTTTGTCCGTCTTCATGATCATATGAAGGAGTCAATTCAAAGTCATCACTGTCTACCAGGTTAGAAGCCTCTCTAAGCCTCCCATTGTCCTTCTCTACTACGCAATCCAATTCTTGACTATTTTTATTTTCTGATTTCTCAAAAGACTTCTTGAAATCCTTTTCATTCTCAGCATGCTCAGCCGCTCCTTTGAGTCTCTTCTCATCATCTTCAGATTTTACAACTTCTTTGTGAAGCCTCTGATTCTCTTTCCTACCACAAACTTCTTTTTGTTTCCTCTCGTCCTTTTGTGATTCGTGATACTCTTCTTGCTGCTTCTTTTTCTCATCTTGATTTGTTTCTCCTTTTTCATTTCCATCTTGTTTACCAACCTTATCAAGTCCTGCACAATAATTCATCTCAAAATTTTCTCTTGATCTCCTATCATTTGGTTTCCTTGCATGAACATCCATGGCAATTTTATCAGTATCTGGTCCTTCACTGACACCCCTGAGATGACTTTTAGCTTCAACTTCAGATACATGCAAGTCAGCTTTTGTGTTCATTTGTCCACTGTTGTTAGTGACATTTCCTATCTTTCTACTGTCTTCATGCTGCTTGGCCATTTTCATTTTCCCTTTACTCACTTCTGATTCACAGTAACTAACACCTACATGTGCTTTTTCCCCAGACTGTGTTTGACAGCTTGATCCAGCAGTTGTTTCTGACCTCAACCTTTCGCCAAAAGTTTCTGCAACCACTTCAAACGTAATGTTTTGATCTTCCAACTTAGAAGCTATCTCTGCTGCTTTAAATTCCTTTCCACCTCCTAACTGCTCAGTTGTTTCAGTGGCAACCGAGTGTTTGAACTCATCCAAATCCATTTGGAATAACACGTTGTCATCCCTATTGTGCTCAAAAGCTAAGGGTATATGTGCTTCAAAAACTTCAAAGTATTCTGTGCCTTGTCGCCAAGCAAAATTTCCTTCAGAATTATAGAGCACTGGATTTGATGAGCTACTATGTTTGCCGTATCTTCTTTTTGCAGGTTTTTCAGCTAAATCAGTGGAGCCTTCTCTTTCAACCAAATCCGAAAGTTCCTGATTCATCTTTATTTTGTACCTTTCTTCCTCAGCGAGAAGTTTTATTCCACTGTCTTGTTTTGCACTTTTTTCTTGTACTCTGTCGTCTTTAGAACTGTCAAAAGTCTTGCTCAGCTTCTCCTCCTTGATGTCAGTCTGTGAATGCAGTTTCAAGGAGCTTTGTAAAACCTCTTTTTTCTCCATTGATTCTTTTGCACTCCTTATTTTTGCCTGAGCTTTCTGCATGGCATCTCTTAAAGTGGCAGAAGCCATCATAGATGAATTTCCATCTACTTCTACATCATAGAAAGATGGCCAACTATCATCTTCCTGTTCCAAACCACAAGTCTTAGAAGCTTTAAGCTTTGAATTTGGTTTGTCCGATGCAAAAACTGGCGGTGGTCTTGACGGGGGTGGCAACCGAGAAGGCTTTGTTCTGAGATTGATGTCATTTACAGTTACAAATGGCCGACTCTGAGAAAAAAAATGTCTGTCAGATTTTTCTACACGGTAGGCATGACTTTCAGATGTTCCAACGGCACATTTCTTTGGTACAGATACATTGTTTTTAAACTGCTCGTCTTCTGCTGCTCCCCCACCAAAATCCACACTGGATTTCAGATCACTGGCTTCTTGCAACTTTGATCCTTCAACTTTTTGTGAAGCATGCATTTCATCAATCGCATAAGTATGTCCAGGCATAGCACATAATTCAGCTCTGTGTGTTGTCACATTTGATACCTCATCGTTGCTTCTTTGGTTAGCCTTGTGATATGAGATATCAAACTGCCTAATGCCCCTTGCTTCATTGCAGATATTCGCATTTGCCAAGCTATGATTTCTTTCAGAACAAACCGAAGGATCTGATTCATCTGACAAAGAGTTGCTATGTGCTGGAGTCCTAGGGTGACAAGACAGACATAAGACATCATGTAGGTTCTTATACGCCAAACTAGAATTTTGTTTATGGTCTTCTTCATTTATAATCGTAAAAAGGATAGATTCACAAGTTAAACAACAAAGGATTTCTCAAAGGTTTATTTGACAAGTCCATTGACAATATCCACTAGCAATGTCAAGATCACATTCTTTTAAATTGGAAGCTATATAAATGAAGATAAAACCAGCCAGTGTCATCAATATCCCGAAGTCAAACGAGACCAACTAAACTTATAACCAGTACAATGAAGCATGATTCAGTTTGTCAACTCTATTGGTTTCACAACTTCTCGACAAAATTCAAAGTATTAAAAGACCTCCAATGTACATGAACAGATAGGGTTCAATAAAAGTTGCACATAATAAAGTTAAAAAAACAAGATTTAAAAGAAAAATAGAAATTCTAGGAATCAAACAAACCAAAGGGAACTGCTTGGAGCCGCGCTCTGGATAATCTTGTATACTTTGAAGATTTGCATACATGTCACGACATACAGATAAATTTCATCCATTTCATCCAAGTTTCAAACTTTCCATGTTTCAATAATTAGAGAATCTGACAAGGTTCAATTGTTCACACTCCTTGAAATGGTTATCCCTTCCTAAACTCTCCCTCTTAATGTTGGCGAAAGGCGAGCATACCCTCCCCTCACTTGAAAATTTAGGCCAAGCTAACGAACACCCTCCGGGGAAAAATTGCCAAAATTTAAGCAAAAATAAATCTTCTTTACACCCCATATTTTCTATTGGACAAGTTTTCACCCAGAAACACACTCAAACCTTCACGCATGGACAAAAGGGAACTCATAAAGATACAACAAATTCGAAAAGCTCGCTCTGCCTTAGAAAAATGATATCGAAAGAAATGCAGAAACAAGAAAAAAAATGTTTACCATTTTCTAGCAAATTTGCAGTAAAATTAAACACTTTTCCAGCAGCAGCCAACTTTCATAGAAAACATTCAGAAAAGCTCACAGGAAAAAAATAATAATAACAGTAAGCTATAGCAAAAGAGCATACCATGTATCATCATCATCATCATCAGAAGGATCATCTCCACCGTAAGCTTTCCTAACCAAATCCTCAAATGACACACTAACATCCAGGCCGTTAAAGCCTCCGAAAACTTCAGAGTAGTCAAACCTGGAGCTCTGAACATCACAACAGAGCTCCGCTTCCTCCACCACCGGAAGATCCAAAATCGGAATAGAAGAGCCTCTGGCCGAGTGAAAACCTCCGAAAATTTCACTGTAGTCTTCAAGACGAGGCGCCAAAGTTGGCATGCCGAACTTAGGCGGACCGCCAAAAACGTCGTCGTAGACCGATTTATGACCATGACTGGCCATTCCAAAGCCATTTCCGCCGTAGCTCTTCTTCGAAAACGAATGCGAGAGGTTTTCCATTTCTTCTAAGAAATGGAAAACCCTGGAGAACTCTAGGGATATTATTTATGCAAACTTCTTATTTTTTTTTGGAAATATATGTTTTGGAGTCGCTCTGCTTTTCCTCTTTTTTGGTGCAGAGTGGAGTGCGGGAAAGGACGGAGCAATGGACGAGGAGGAGGACCGAAGGTGGGACTTGCGGGGAAGAGGACGAGGGGTGAAAAAAATTGGAAAAAGGAGGGAGAATTTGCAGAATGACGAAAATGGGGCTGTGGGTTTGGGAGCAGTAATTGCGGGAAGACAAATTGTCAAGGGGAAGGGAGGTTTGGATTCGCTGACGTTTCAATCGGCGATGAATAGAATTTGAAGAGACAAGATTGGCAAGTGGGTCTGGGGAGCGGGGTGGGACCGGGACTGGGATTGGGCAATTTGAGAGGTTTGTGGTGGGGTACACCGTCGTGTATATGCTTGACATCTCTGTTTGTTTTGCAGGCTTTCAAGTTTCAAATCCACCCAATTTCACGCCCTCAGTAACCCATGCCTCTCGTTCCTATTCTCATTTTCACGAACATATTTTTTTAATTTTATTTTTATTTCATATATATCAAATAATTTATAATATATATTTTTATAACAAAAAAATTTTAAAAAATAGCAATTGAAATGAGTTCTTAGACTTCAAAGGCGTTTCCTACAAAACAAAACTAAGAAAATGGAAACAAAACTAAGAGAGAGCTAGCGTTTGGATATCTTATCAAACCGAATTGGATTTGTTAATGTGCGAGTTCGAACTCATTGATCCAAAAAAAATGAAGCTCGAGCTTGATTCGACTTAAGAAAAGGAAAGTTTGAACTGGACTCGCTTCTGGCACGCGAGCTTAGTTCGATTTCTGACTCGCAAACAACTCGAGTTTCGCTCGACATTTTGGCTCTCGAGGAGCTTGATTTTAATTGATGCAGGAGCATTTTTATAATTTCACATCAATTCAAGCTTTTCAAGTGGTTCGTCGAGCTATCGAATCTAACAAATGGTTGCTCGAACTCGATTCGTATTTATTTACGATCTGTTCTTGAGCTCGGGGTTGATCGGATTCGAGTAGAGCTATATTACAGTGCTGTAATAAAAAAATTCAATAAATGAAATATAATTGAGGATTAAAAAAAGTGTTTCAAAAATCTCAAGAAAGTTTTCAAACAAGGTCTATTGAACACCTTTTCAAGTGTCTTATACAGGAGATAAAAAATAATTAAAAACATAAAAAGTAGATTCAAAGGTGTTTCTATGGTACATTATTTTAAATTTTCCGTAAAAAAAACTTGCATTATGCACAAAGGAGAACCTAGCTTTGTTTGGAATTCGTTTTTCAAAATCAGCATGTATATAAAATATAAAGGCAATGAAGAATCTTGTATTTTTTTCTTCCTTTTTTGATATAACGAAGAATCTGTTTTGGAGAGTTTATTCATTTTTTGTGTTTAATTCTTCAAATGCGTTTTATACTTCTTTTTTTTTTTTTTTTAAAAAAAAAAAAAAAAAAGGTCAAGAACCAAAAGCAACTTCGTCAAAGCATATGTGCACTTGGTTGCTAAGCCATAACTCTCATCTTCTTGTGATCATTTGCAAACCCTTTTTTAACTTTTCAACTCGAATAAAACCGTGCCACCATATTCACGAGGTATGCAATGCATCCGAGCGTCATCTTCTTTCTCTTAAATGTCTCCATGACGCCTCCATCCCCACAGCCTTCTTTCTCTCTTTTCAGGGATACCAAAGATTATCTTCGAATCAGCGCTTGATACTTTTGTGGTTTAGATTAGACAAATCTTCGAACCATGCAGTAATAGACTGCACCAGACAAGACCTCATCAAGGGTGATTTTTTTCTTTTTCTTTTCAAGTTAAAGCTGTACATAATATACAGTATTCATCATTCTTTGCAATTGATTTAGGATAATATGACAACGTAATAGCAGAGCTGGAGCAGCGTTCATTACTGCCATCAACATACAATTGACAGCCATGATGAGATGATAGGGAGGTCTGTGGATTGAATTCTGTACAGAGATGGCTGCACGATCATAACCTAACATCTGCCTTGTAATTGATGATGGCCTAAGTCACATCGATCGCCATTTTCGTCTTCCAAATCTCAATCGGCATCTAATTAATACTTAACAAAGGGTATGTCATGCACTGGCACTCATTGAATACTACTACTGCTCTAAACTGATAAATTAATTAGTGAAGTGGGTCCTTGTTTTTTGAATTGACAGATGTAAAAATAGCAATAAAAAAAAAAGGCCCTTTAAATTCTACTACTTTCTTTCTGGTTTTTGCAAAGCTTTGGTAATTAATTTGACAATGTCCAAATCATCTTATTCGAGTTTTTTTTTTTTTTTTGTTGGGGTTATAAAAATGATTATTGCATAAAACTTTTTTTAAAAATTAATTGTGCAACAATTAGCAAAATTGCTGTCACATTAAGAGGTGATTTAACGAAGTATCTTGCCGGGCTAGTTTTCTTTTTCAATTTTTGGTGGAAAGAAAAAGTTTCAGCTCATGACTTATTTTAATCCTTACAGCTTTCTAATTTACAATGTATAGCAAATGAATGCCCAAACTGACGTTGGATTCTAATCTAAGCTGGCCTGCAACCTAAAGAATACTCTGTCGGGTTCCCTGTTTCTGATACTTAAATCGTTACAGCCACGTGGGATGAATCTTCTAACCAAGCTGCTGATGATCCTATGCATTGCGAACCTTTTTTTTTTGCATTATTCGTTCATTTTCGTTATTGAATTTTACTTTTTCAATGACCAGTGCTATGTATAGTAGAAAACGGTACCAGTTAAAGTATTCAAAGGCGAGGCTTATTTTTTCCGTGTCTTGTTCCCTCCTCATTTTCTTGATCTCTTCGGGAAAGAAGATTTTGTTCTTCTTCTCAGTTACTCTTGTTGTCCTATCTTGAAGCATTATTATCTTTGCATGAGGGCTTTTGGCTATTCAGCAAAGGGAAAAATGTGTAGGGTTAAATAATACTACTAACAATAAAGAATTAGGACCATAAACAAAAAAAAAGATTCCTACAAAAAAGACAGTTCTTATGGTGATTGCTTTTGTTTCGTAATTGGGAATTGAATCACATATCATTTTTGAAAGAATGAAGTAATCCATAATCAGTTTCTTATGTTTTCCAATGTGGTAAGTAATATCTATCTTTAAAGAGCACGGATCTTCACAATTTCTCAGCATTATATATTAATTTAATTCAATAATTCAAAAATGTTTTAAAAAAAAATTAAAGCTTTTGATGTTTAGCTTAGAGGCCTCAGCTAAAAAGGCCCACTGACTAATACTCCTACATAGTAGCGTTAGCTATATTGATTACGAAGATTTGATAAATACTGGTAATAAATTACCTGTGCTTTCATCAAGTGCGATAACATGATTGAATGGCATATATTAGAGGAGAGGGCACAATACATATGAGCGGATGAGCACGCCTGCAATGGTTGGTCTGTTGGTTGTTGCCCCCGACACAAGTTTGTTCTATAAATATTTTTTTTTGGGGGGGGGGGGGGGGGGGAGAGGTTTAAGGTTCAACGTGTGTATGATTATGTATTTAACACTGTGATTGTGATTTTTTTACAGAAAAATTTGTATGTTTTTCGTGAATACATTTGTTTTGTCAAACAAACATCAAATCGCTACTTTATATATATATATTTAACAAAAAAACTCCTAAAAATAACCATTCAAACGTAACCAGTAACTCCAAGCCGATCGATCTGTTAATACAAATGATTTAGTGATTACTTTCCAGCTCAAATTCCCCATCCTTTGCATGGACATGGTAATGTGCCTATCAATCATGCCTCTATCCATTACACTCTTACACTCAAGATGCACAATCATGGATGTCCTAGAATTGTTTATCCAACATCTCTTCCTCTTTTTCAGGCAAGAACGACTCTCGTGCAAATTTGATATAAAGGTGGGCAAGAACATTTTGAAACTTCAGCATATAAATACGAAAAGCAATTTGCAGTGCAAGTTTACTTGAAAAACTCTCCTATAAGTGAAACAGTATTCAGAATGGGGGAAATGGGTATGATGCATTCATTCTCTCTATGTTAATACGTAGTCAAAGACTATATAGATAACGTAAATTGGGCAGATCGAACGAGATTGATGGTCAAGTTATACAGTATATAATAATATTGCTTATAGTAGAAGCCCAAAAAATCATCATGTAAAGGGAGGAGTATTTCGGTGACGTGACCAACAACAACATCTTCATGAACGTATTACGAATGAAAGGGCGCGGCGCCTCCGATTTCTTCATCATTAGATACTTGATTCATCCAGATTTAATTTAAGGCAGGAAAACGCTTGAAGGAATATGACACTAGTATTCCGCTGCCGCACTGGCATTTTAGTAATAAATTGAAACATGAGGTTTGAAAATTGAAATGCATGCTGCTAGGTTCTCTCTCTCTTTTTCCAAGCAAAAAGCCGAATTATTGCGGGATCACCCATCACATTTCATGACAACTAGTAGTAGTACACTGCTGCAATAGCAATAAAGCAAGGGAGTTTATTACTGATAATACGAACGCTTTTAAGGGGAGTATTATTTTGACACCCTGGATTTCAACTACGGCTGCCCTCCGTACGCTTATGACGCTTTTTGCCGTGGAGTTGTGTGTTTCTTGGTACCAAAAAGAACGTCAGGCCAGCCTTTCTTCTGTAAGTTTCTGCAAAATTTCGATTGCAGGCAGAAACGTGATGACACAAGTGATGACAAGCCGTACGTATTTCTTCGTCCTTTTGTTGAATGATAGATATGTCAATCCCCTTTTCCTTTTTCCCCTTTCCGTGATGCTATTTTGGGAGCATACTATTGTAATTGAGCAGGTCCCTGCACGAGGCCCAGGGCCAAACTGTCCATTCTTTTCCTCTTCTTCCATCAGCTGCTCGCTTTGGTGGCAAATTGGTGAGGTACTTGAGTTATGTTTAGTAATTATTTTTGGTAAGAATTGGGTATTGTTTTACTTGTAGTGAAAAAATACTACTGCGTATTTCTTTTTCTTGACGAGTAAATCTCCCTGCTGCCAGGGCAGAGTGAGGACCAGGCACTGAGATTCTGCTTCATGTGCGCAGTGATGACTTTCCTCTCCTGAGGAAGTACTTACTTGTCCACTTTGGACCTTGGCCATCAACGCGAATACCTCTGCAGTGATGTTTGTGTTTCAAACTCTCAGAATTAATTAGATTCCAATATCAGGAGTTCGATTTATCGTTTGTTATTGCAGCCAACACAGGTTCGACATATGCACTATCGACCATCGTTTTGTTCCTGCATTAAATCAAAATGAAGTCGCCGCACCGACATGAATTCACAGTTCTGTCTGATAGCCGCCGAAATGGGCACGTAGGATTTCGGAGCTATGAGTAGAGCAGTCAAAATGGCTATCAAAATCAATTCCCAGCAATCAATTTAAACCAGGTAGTATTTGTATCCGCCAGCCAAACCAAAAACCCTTTACATCACAAGACAATGACAAGATACACCATCTCCGCTTTCCCCCAATTTCATGAAAACCAACCCAGGCCTGTCAGCAAGTAGGCAAGTTAATAAGCTGAGCTGGTGGGCAAGAATAGTCGTTCACCTTATTCATGTGAAAGCCCCAATTATAAAAATTCAGTTCATACAGTAGATCCTTTCTGACCTTTCCCTAATCACTAAACAACCAAAGTTTAGTTTAAACATCCCGTCAATTATCTCAAGAAACAAAAGCCTCCTATAAACCAGGGTGGTTGAACATAAGGTAAAGGCAAGAACTGAATACCATTGATGCTTAAAACATCCGAGCCAGACCCCAAAATTATTAGGAAAAAGAAATGTAGGTCCTTTCCTATTTTATCCGCACATAATGCCAAAATATCACCACCTTCAATTCTGAAGAACTTCCCAACATGCACCCCATCACAATCTTAAGAAGCCTTTGGTGCCTTATCTGGCAAAACATTATCAGGGAGGATAAGCTCCGGCGGAGTTTCACGGACAACGCCCAACATTGAGTCATACTCTTCATCCTTGCGTGCAAATTTCTTACGAAGCACCTTCTCAAACTCAATTTCATCAAATCCTTTAGCATTCTCAGCTGCATGGACCTGTGCTAAGTTGGAATAGTTGAGGGCTGACTGGGATATGAAGGCTATTTCCTCATCTGTAAGTTTCCTCAGAAACTTTGCTGGGTTTCCTCCCCACACCTGTGTTCAGAATACAGTATCAGTTACCAAAGGGTTTTCACCTAATTTTCTTCCAATATCATTTACAAATGTTAAAACAAGATAAGGCCAGAATCAAATCCCCAGAAATGGCAAGAAATGAAACGCACTCAAAATCTCATGCCCACGTTCACATTCACAATGACATATGCTGTACTAGAGATGGCTAATTTAAAAACAATTACAAGAACTCAGATTTCTGCCAAAGCAACCCGGCTGTCATTTACAGAACCTCCAATCATAAAACCAACTAATCAGCCCCAGGTTGTTCTGTCCAGCTGCCTAATATGACAGAACAAGGACCAAAAATAAAATCAGGAATAGTACAACTGACAACCAGATATCAAGATGGATGCAACTTTAGCTAAGACAATCCCAACATAAAGACAGCTATATGGAATTTCAAGTCTCTCTTACCCCAAAATACTTGCAGTCATTAATTAGTTAGAGGTTTAAGCTTACTCTAATCCACTTCTTAGCTTCACTACCAGTTATTAGGTAGTACTCTTATTTATACTTTGTAGCTTCATTTCAGCAGCAAAACAACAAAAGTATAATAAGGGCAAAAAAAAACACTTCTTTTACAATAAAATAATTACCTCAAGCCAATTGCTAAAATTAAGCCTCAAATGAGAAAAATATTTCAAAGTACTGCTGCTACAGTTTCGTAAAAACAGCAGATTCTAAAAGTATTTAATATGCAGATTGAAATGATGAAAAGAATGTTTAGCGAAAAGTTCAGTGTCTACAAACCTCACCGCAGGGGATCCTTGTATTCTGCCTAACAAGGGCTCCAGCTGCAACCATAGCATTCTTCTCTACAACCACCCCATCAAGTAAAGTTGCTCCCATACCCACAAATGCCTCATCCTCAACGGTACAACCATGTAGAACAGCACTATGACCTATTCAATAACAGTCAAAATTTACCATAAGGTCCATCAGTAGGTCTATTTGACAAACAGATTACATGATGAATTCATCAAATCACTTACCTACAGTAACATTATCGCCAATAATAGTAGGCAAAACCTTCCCGCTAAGATTGGATTTGGCTACATGAACTAGAGAATTGTCTTGTATATTTGTTCCAGTGCCAATACTGATGCTGTTTACATCACCTGCAATGACACTTCATGGTTAGACAATAGACAGCAAAATCACAGCTCATAAAAGAGGGAACTTTTTCACTCTCTAAAATGCAAGTTGCATAACCAAGGAGAGATCAAGTATCCAGAAGATAACAATTATCAATCCATGCACTGCTGAAACCCTGATCCTCATAGTTGGCACCTAGACGAGAAACCAACCATAAGGAGTTACCATGAAAGAATGAATGATAGCTAAAGAAAAAGGAGGGATAAGGAATGGGATGTCAATGATGGAAAATATTCAGGTCCCCACCACATCAAATAGAAACCTTACACATTTGAAACCTTGAAAATGTTCAGTCTCTCTCTCTCTCTCTCTGCTTCTTTGCACAACTTTGGGAAGCAGAAGCCAACTTTACTCCACTATATGCCTAGAGAAATAAAACCCACTTCTCATAGCATCATTTCATGCTATAAGACCGCAGTTAAATTCCACCTTCATTAATGTACAATTAGGAAAAACAGATATAGTAATAACACCCCAAAAGTGTTTGTCGTTATGTTTTCTAAACTGTCTCCTTTATTGGCCCCGGTGACTTTCGTGGCTCGAGTAAACACATTCATATCTCAGTTGATAAGATGAAATTATGATGGTGAAGGAGTAAAGATAATATAGGTGAGATCTGAGATCTCATTTTAGGACTAGGCACAATTTGATTTAGGATCCAACTAAAGCTCATTGTGGTTTCATTTCATGCAACCCCTTTGCTCCAATAAATTATTCCTTTTTCTTTATGCATTTGTTCTTTTATTATACGATGAAGCAAAAACGATTGTATCATTTAGTAAGCATGAAGGGTAAACTAAGGGTTTTAACAAGGGTGTTCATACAATAAAAGAAAAATAAAAGATGAAATTGACAGGGCAGTCAGTGAGCAATTGAAGGGAGCTACCTAGAGAGGAAGGGTGATATGATCAGCTATTTAGAAGAGAAAGGCATGGTGCTTATTGAAAGGGATCTAATGCGAGCATATCATCAAGTGTCATGCAACATGTCTCACCCCAAGATGGAGTAAATAAATCTTTGTTTTTCCTTGCAAAAAGAAATGGTGATTCCTGATAAGACGTGGACATACTTCATATATGAAATAAGAAAATTTTACTATAAAACCGTTTCAATGGAACAACATACACAGATATTATTAGAGATATTCTCTTCCCATTGTTCAGTTCTCAACCCATTTTTAATGGTCTTGGATATCTGAGATTCTTAAACGAATAGGATTTTTAAACGAGTTTTCCAAATTTTGCATGCTTAGAGTACTGCTAGCAGTGTAACATTCATTAATCTGAGAGAGAGAGAGAGAGAGAGAGATTCTGTCTAGAACTACCTTAAAAACACATTTAAACACCAGCTGGGTATAGCGCTGGTCAATAGCAAGCCATATTACTGCCATTAGGCCTCAAACAAGTTGTGCAACACTAAGAAGCTAAGTGAGAATATGAGCATGCATGCCCATGGACGTCAAGGTTTGGAATTTTTCCATGTTTTGAACCAGTAAATGGTCAAGTTATCTCACACCAATCCAAGTCAGAGAAGAACGGCGTATAATCTTATTCCCAAAGAAATAAGAAGGCATACATAGCACATCATCTGAGCCAAGAAGAAATGTGAAGTCATAATTTACTGCAACAGACATTATATAGTTTGACATAGTACATTAACACCCACCTCATGAAAGCTGTTGATCACGTCAGGAAACTATCCTTATTGATCAGCAGTGGCACACGATAAAAGTAAATTTCCATTTCTATAAACAGTAGTAAAATGACAATGCAAAAGTAGACAAAGCAGCAACATGTGCAGTAGGCAAAAGTAGCTAAAGTGGCAGTGAACTTCTCATTCAGACTATGGAAGATGAAAAACTAACACATGACCAGAAAAAGATCATGTGACCTAATTGACGTACTATGTCTAGGATACGTGAAAGGCAATAGCTAAATATGGAAAATAATCGGTGCACAAGCTTTCTCACAGCACGTTGTGGATTTGGAGCATTTGTATTCCAGGTGCAAACGAACTTCAGAACTGAAGCTGTAATAGCATTTCAGGCACTAGACGTAGTGCTTCGCACATATTCACTTAACTGACATGCTAAATTGTGCAGTATTGGTGTTGAGCTGGCAAGGTTATTAATTACATTATATTAAATTAACTTGCTAAAGGCAAAAATTGAAAAGGCAAATGTCTCACAAAAAAAATATACAGATGCAGCCAGATTATATGATTATGATAAAGAGTATATAACTAACCTCTTAGAACGCAGCCGTACCAAATGGAAGAACTCCGGCCGACCTGAACATCACCAACGATGGAAGCACTTGGGGCGACAAAGGCATCCTTATCAACCACAGGAGCTTTATCAAATATGTTCATCAGGGTTCTATGCCTGGACACTTTACCAAAACCAATTCCGACAAATACATTAAAAAGGATAAACCAATCAGTCAGATACTCAAATTATCTGACAAAAGTCCACCACCCCCCCCCCCCCCCAAAAAAAATCCATAATGAAATGACCAGAGACAGAGACAGCAGTAAAAAAAAAAAAAAGAAGCTGAATGGTGATGGGGATATCCTTACAGTTTCAGCAAAGAATACCAAAAACTCATAACGGAGACTAAAATACTGCATAGGAAATTTAGAATTAAGCTACGGCCAATTAAACCCCAAAAATAGGAATTAGGTAGGGTTTCATTTGACAATAAAATTAAGCCTCCAAATAAAAACTAAAAACAAAAAAGAGAGAAAAAGATGATGAAGAAAAAGAAATGAGTGAAAACGCACGTTGTTCTTGGAAGTAGTAGTTGCCTTGGAGACGGCAACCGAGGCGATCGAGTGCTTGGCCGGTCTCCCGGATCCAGAATCCGACGGTGTAGATTGCTCTTCCCAGTGAACCCATCTTTTCGGCTTTGGGTCAAGGGAGGTTAGTCCAGAGTGATAATTTGTTTTCCGATATATCAGAATGTATAGTGGGCTGGGGAATCGAAGGAAATAGAAAATGAGGCTTCTAGCTGAGCATTGAGTAGTTACTTATTATGAGCGGAGGGCAGTCAAGGGACGAAGAGAAGAATGAGCTGAGTTGCTCTATTTGGGACTGAGTAGACAGTACTGTAGAGTGGGCGGTTGACTCGTTACTCACTTGACGCTTGATTCTCTACGCTCGCATCTACCGCTATTTGTTGTGGTCACCCCCAACCTTCACGCGCGCACGCGCCAAAAAAAAAAATCCCCATTGCTTTTTTTTTCTCTCGGATATCAGTTCCAAAATGCAAAATCCTACGACTGTACGACACCTAACCCCGAGACTGCATTACTGAGTAACTAGTACGGGTTCTTAAATCGATGAAAAAAATGAAAACAAACACCAACCATAGTCCACAAATAACTAATAGCCCTTTTGGATTCTTATTTTTACGAGTTTTTATACAAAAATATATTATCATAATTTGATGCATGTGAGATATAAAAGTGATTAAAAAATATAAAAATTTTTTGAAGAAAATTTGCTTTTCCTTGAACTTTTGATAATCTGCTTTTAGGAGATTCAAGACTTCAGAAGAACCAAGTAAACAACTGCATAGATTCAAGCAAGAAAGGCAGCTACAAGCGAGAGAGCATTAATTATTTATGTCCCTAAGCTGTTTCCGGAGTAAATCATCACATCACATTTTCGTAGCTAAACTTCAAAGCCATTATTGTTGTCCACGTTTTTGTGATGCCTGTAACATCAACCAAGACCCTCTCATGGACAACATCAGGAGAAGCAAGCAAAACAAGCTATTCGTAACACACACACACACACACACACACACCCCCCCCCCCAAACCCCCACACACAAAAAAAAAAAAAAAAAAAAAAAGAAGCTGTAACTGCCAGAAGGCACTTTATAACTAACCGTTTTCGCTGGGCAATCCCAGACTACACTTACTTTTGACACTTAGAGAGTGTTCACAAGGCATGGCAAAAGTGCCATATAGACCTCAACATCACTATATACTTAAAATTTATAACATCCAGACTAGGCATGTTGCCAGGATCATAGCAGCGTCAGATTCTGAAAATTAAATACATTCTCATGCTTGCAAACGCTTGAAGCCTTTCACTGCCTCAAACTTTCGACGATGTAGGAAGCATACAGATCCCTGCAATGACGGGGTTGCAAGAAACATCACATTACGAGAGCACAAAGCCGAAATGCTGTAAAAGTTCTAAGACCATCATTTTAAGGGAGGAGGAGTTAATGAAATAATTGCTCTCTCTTCCCCGTTCCGTTTAGTTATTGTACCACGTTTACGACCAACTTACATGGAATACTTGATAGCTTCAACAGCCACTGCAGCTGGCAGGAAGTCTTCAACCGCAACTGACTTGTTCTCATTCTTTTTGTCTATGCGTGAAATGTAAAGAACGTACAACAATAACCAGCACACAGCATAAAACACTGGAATAATGGAACCAAAACACTGGAATGCAACAAATGGGATAAACTCTAAAGATGACTTGATTATAGGGTGAGAGAAGGGGGAAAACACACACACAGAGTTACACTCTAAACCTCAGGCTAGTAGCGAACAACATTACTAGTGCAGATTGATGGATACAGTCCTCAAAGAAGCGGCGGATTTCAGCAAGGCGATGTGGAGGAAGATCCTTAATGTCCTTGTAGTGGCGAAACTCAGGATCATCAGCACACACAGCTATGATTTTGTCATCCTTCTCACCCTGTAGACAAGTTACAAGGACACGTCATTGCTGATAGCAAAGAGATTTACACAAGGACCTTCAAAAAGTTCCAAAATACTTTTGGCACCCCCCTGGAAAGACTGAAAAGTGGAACTGTTCTGAAGTTAATTAAAAGATATTAACTTCAATAACTCCAGTGGCACTGATAAAGACTCTTGTTCCTCTTGTACCACACTCAGGTAGGTATATTGGCTTTTCAGGGACTCAAAGGGAGGTAAATAGTGCAATATAAGCAAACTGAATTCTCGGGGAGGCAAGTAGTGTGACGTAAGCAAGCTGAAGTATTCAACATTCTCAAGGATAGTGCATCTGAACCTGACCTCCAAGTTGTATAAGAATGTAAGCACCTTAAAGGTGGCAGTAATGTACATTATAGATAATTTCTACCCTTGTACATGAAGAGCTTTTCCATTGCCTTTCAAATTTCTGAGTGAAACACTAACTGCGCACACAGAGAGCTTACCTGATCAATCATAGGCATCAAACCAATAGCACGAGCACGTAAGAAAGTTCCAGGCAGCACAGGTTCCTGCACAAGTGGAATTTGATTTAGAATAGTATCAGGTAGTTGCACAAATATAATAGGTAAAAAATCAAATAAGAAATTTAATCAGCAAGACAACAAGGCAGAAAGAGGGAACCTGCATGAGGACTAGAACGTCCATGGGGTCACTATCTTCACAAATTGTTCTAGGAATGAAGCCATAGTTATGTGGGTAGACTACTGAAGAGTAAAGAACTCGATCAACCTATGAATCAAAACTTCCTTCAGTTGCTGCTTCAATGCCCAATAAAAAAAAATATATCACCTAAGCGTGTGAAAAGAACTTCTATCTACAAAAGAATGGAACCCCTGAGTTCTTGAGTTAGTGACTGCATTTATGGATAGAAATTCAATGCCTCTAGATGCAGGCATCAGAAAATGAGACATGAATCTCCAATTTATCTCACATAGTATCGCTTAGTGGATATGGTGAACTCAGCCTTCGGGGGCAATTTATTGAAATATTTATCAACAACATGGATTCACCCAGGTCCAACAACAACAATGCCAGTAGCCCAATAGGGCTTTTAAGCCGCAAATTGACACAGGTGATTTCAATTCGAGGAGAAAGTACAGGCCTATAAAGCTGAAGAGGCACTGAAAAAAAACTAAAATTTCCTTGCCAAGACAGAAAGTTGATCGAGGAAGCAACATCAATGAGAAAAGCAATGACATAGATGCAACAGATATCAAAGAGAAGTTTATTGGGAAGAGAATCGTGGAAGTCTGAATATGTTGAAGTGAAGCTTAACCGGAATAGGCACATTTATTCTTTAATGTTGCCACAGTTTGCTTGAGAGGGTAGACAGGCCAAACTGAAAACTGATGATGAAAGGAGCTAGAGTCAGAGAAAGGAAGAAGGAAAAGGGAGATAATTGAAGCCAACTTCTTAGAAGTCGACTTCTATATTTCTGAATCCTAATAACACAAAGTAAATCTTCAACAATGATCTTTTGTTTCAGTCTTAAGTTAACGATACAACTAATTCAAGAAAAGACCATGTGTTAGGACTGGGTCCCAGGTAACTCGATAAAAGTTAATTTGACATCCTAGAAAATTGAAAATGAAGGCTATAATAAATTGTGGAGAAGAATATTAAAAGATAATGACACGAAGATTTACGTAGTTTGGTGAATTAGACCTAGTCCACGGGAGGAGAGCAAATTTGACAATAATGAAGAAGAATACAAAACTTAGGACAAAATGCCTAAAGCCCAAAAACAGATGAAACAATAAAACTACAGAGAACTCATAGTTGTAGACAAAAGGAAAAATTTCTCTAAAGAGCTCTCTATCTCTCTGATGGCCTTATGCTTATAGTGCGTGTAGCGGTGAAATTCCCAAGCTGTGCTGTGACTGCAATTTGTAGGAGAGCTCCAACAAAATGTGCAGCACGTGAACATGCAAAGCTTGCTCAAGTGTAACTTGCATGAAAACAAAAAATATGGCATGATCCTAATAGTATAGCTACTTCAATAGGACAGAAGAAGAACATGGCTTGATAGGCCATTTAGTCTGACCAAGAAGAATGCATGCACATGGAGGATGGAAAGCCATCCATGAAAGGATGAAACACAATGACATGAAGTATCACTTCATTCAGGAGACTATTGCTGAAGGAAAGCTCTGAAGCTAACAATCTTGCTGACATGTTTACCAAGTCTCTTCCATCGCTAGGTTCAAGCATTGCTTGGACAAAATTGGCGCTCATTGTGGTATTCTCGGCCTAGTAGGGCTTCTATGGACAAGGTAGAGCAAGTTTACTATTTTCTGTACGTTGGATGCAAAGCCAAGGTTGAGAGTTGTTGGAATTAAATGCCTAGGATGTCTTTCATCCTCCAAGCACTGCTCTTGGTCAAACTAAATGGCCAATGAAGCCATATTTTCTTCCATCCTATATAGTAGCTCAATTGTTGATATCTTGACCATGTTTTGGCTTTCATTGAAGTCAAAGTTCAGCAGCCATTTTTGGTTCATGCTCCAAATAAATGTCAACTGCATCTTGCTGATAAGTACGGGATTTGCAAAGGCTTTGCACCACCACAACCCCAAGAGACGAGAATTCAGTTTGGGACATTTTCACTTTAGTATAATTTTGAGTATTCTCTTGCTTTGTCTCCCCATGCCAATCAGCATTAGCTTAAGGTAAGACACCTTGAATTTGAATAAAACATTTTCTAAGATAACAGAAAGGATATTATCAGAAGGCAAGTGGAAGAGAGAAAAATTCACCATACTTTAATAAGCCCACTAGCTTTGTCAAGCTCATACTTCACTTTGCTGCCTTTTCCAATTTCAACCACCTGCCATATAACAAAGAATCAGACTGGTTTTTAACAGAATATTGTGGATCCATCAAAACTCGCAATCACTATGAAAATTAAAGAAATAAAATATCATTATCAGGTAAAAGGGTGGGGGGGGGCAGATCTCTATCACACGGGCAGTTTAATTATAGCATTGCAAGTTCTTACTTGTACATTAGAGATAGGCACAGAAGCAGAAACCCACAAAATCGAGTGCCTATACTTCTCAAGAGTTTACACAAATGAAAAAAATTTTGAGAGAGAGAGAAGGACGCACACTTGGCAAAACACACAGAAATTAAATGCATGATCATGCCAAGAGTCAGCACAAGGCATGAGCAGTCTGGCACTGATTTTGAGGGAGTTGAGGCAAGAGAGTAGAGACAATAGATACCTTATTTAATTCATGAGATGATTTGTGCTATAATTTGCATGAATAAGCACAACATACTTACACAGTTAAAAATTGATGGTGCTCCTGGCCCTGCATACACAAACATACAAACAATATTTACGTGATAAACATAAGCTGCAAATGGGGCATTGCAAAAGAAAAGGAAATGTGAATTAAATTTATTGCAGACAGTCATAGGAAAAGAAGATGACTCCAGATAGTAGATAGAATGACCATAATTCCTTGAGGATTAAAGTTGATAGTGGTTTAAGTGACAACTGTTGCAAACTGGCTTCAGTTGCATAAGCAATACAAATGGGTGAAAGAATATCTACCGATTTCCAAGTCATGCCAGGGATGAGCAGCAGCAGATCTTCGTGACATGGAGGAGAGAATTCGCTCATTCAGGACAACACCAGAGTTTCCTGAACTTTTTCCAGCACCTTGTCCATCGTCGTTCGCCATTGTCAACTGAACGAAGAGAAACAAGGCAATAGAAATTATAAGACAACTATTCTTTCCTAGTTAAATAGAATAAGCGGACCAATAGTAAAAGAATACAAGCAACTCTGTCCTGTGGCTTATGAGCTCGTTTGTACACAAGGAAACGAAATAACATTTAACAATCCTATTGAAGGCAAGAATCAGATGGCGATCACATTTTCGATAATGTTGACATGTATAGCTCAGAAAAAAAAGGTATCCAAGCAGTGAGAACGACCTTTGAAATCACAGGATCAACTGTGATAAGATTTGCAATAGCCTTCGAGAATCAGAGTACTTTAGTCTTGAAATTATCAAGAATTATCTTAGTTATCCAACATAGCCATCAAAAGGCTATCGAATAAGTAGTAGAGGCAACAAACTGAAAACAAAACTTATAGCTAAATACAATGTTACTACAAACTAAGAACAGGTAACAAGAATGACTCACGCAACAGAGATGGTAACAGGCAGGGGAGAAGTAAGTGCATTAATCGCAGAATACATCTGCTCTAGGCTCTGGAGCAAATTTCCGATTTTTGACCATGTAGAAAACAGACGAGATTACAAATCAGTGCAATTTTCTCCAAAATGATCACTTCATCATTAGTAGGTTGTCCACCAGCCCTATATGCACACGTCACTAGGCATTTCACATGTAAAAATAGTTGTCAAAGAAAAGGAAAAAATCACCATCAACTTCGCTTCTAATACGAAAAGGGCTTCCTAAACGCAACTAAAAGAACTCATCAACCAAGTAACCTTATTTAAAAAAAAAGAAAGCCCCATCTAACAAATAATCAATCCAAATTTTATTTTATAAAAAGAATATGCCACAGTCAGACACTAATGAGTCATGACGACATGCAGCATCAAACCAGTAATCTATTCAAAGAACGAAAATTCAACAGAACCCAAAAAGGGAAAAAAAATCAAAGAAGTAGTACGAAGGAAGTTTCTATTGTCAACAAGAATCCAGAGACGCGCGTAAAACCATGTAATAACTGCATGCATATTCCGAAATCAAGAAAATACTATGCGAAAAACTGAAAATCATCTAAATTCGAGAAAAGGGATTAAAGGGGCTAGCTTACACTTACAGAGGAGAGATGAGACCTGGGACAATAGGAAGCCAAAGAAATTCGATTAGCGTTGTGAGGCGGTGAATGAGTGGAATGTAGCTGGAGGACTAGAGGCCTATACTGGTCTACTAGTACCACTACAATATTCTGTATTCGTTAATCGTAAAGTAGTGGGAAAAGCATGATGGCGTGGCGTTTGCCGTTTAGCACATTTCGGGCAACGTTTACCGGTTGGTTTACGGTGACGTGAGTCATTGGATGGGAAAGGCGTCACTCATGATCTGACGGTGAAAATGGTGGGGTTAAGGCTTCAGGACCGGAGATGGTATCGCAAGGTAAAGCTGAGTGGAGTCTCGAGAAATGGAGCTTGTAATGAAGGAAAATTGGGTCAGTGAAGGAACAATCAGAGAACGGCACGTAATGAAATTGGTCTGGAAATGTGCATGAAAACCGCTGACCGGAAATTACGACTGGCTGCTGGCGTAACGTCTGTTTGTTTGACGGTGGTCAGGGCATCTTTACTTTTTTCTTTCCACTGTAGGAATATTCTACAAAATTCCTCTGCCCAATAGAAGCACTATTTAAGTAATGGAAAGATTTCCATTGGTTAAGTACAGTAGTCGATGATTTTGTGGGTGTGAGATATAGGGTGGAATGGAACATCTTTTGGACTGGACGCTTTGTGAAAAATGTCTTCCTGTGCATTTATTTGTGTATCAGGGATTCGGCTTCTCTTCAATGAATTTTCTCTTCAATTTTTCATTTGAATAAATGGATCACGTGTCGTCCATTATCTGGATGGACAGTCATAATTATTTTGAGAAGTGTTCCTTCTCTGTAGATCGTGAAGCGAAATTTTTGGCCCCCATGAGTCACCCGTGTCCTACGTGTGGGTGGGCCCCACACATCTAAAATGTGTCTACCACGTGACAAATGATTCAGCAGCTCTTTAACATCCAATCCAATCCAATCCAACCCAACCCTCCCTCCTTCATAATCTATGAAGATACAAGAAGTATTATAAACATTCAAAAACAATCCTGATTCTTGATCCATAAATTTCATTCTTGGGTTACCTAAGTTGCTCCATTTCAACATCAAGGGACCAGGCAAAAGTTGCACAAGTGAATTCCATAACTCACATCACATAAGAGTAGTGAGTCACACATAATCACAAGCACTTCTATAAAACGTAGGATTTACATATGTTCAAATTCTAAGTACAGATGTTTACGTAATTGTGTATCAGCGAAGAGGCTGCATTGAGCTTCGGCAGTGAAGCCATCTGGACAGTGCTCTAACCTCAATCAACCGTAGCAGCAGGATTCCATATCTTCTACTGACTATATTGGCCCACATTTTGCAGACGAGCGAAATTTTTCAGAGTAGAAGAAGTTTATAGCAAACAGCATGCAATGTCAGACTGCCAAAAAATCTGTGACCTGTTGCAACCGACAAGAAGAGTCTCCCCCCTGTAATATTGCAAGTTACTAGGAGACCTGATGATGGTTCAGACTCCTCCGTTGGATGCTCATAAACTTGGCTGTGAATTCTGCAATGTCAATGTGAATGATGTATCAGTGAATTAGATGGCATTATTTGGCTTTCAAACGTCTTTTTTTTTTTTTTTTTTTTATAGATTTTTTATTCCAACTGATCACAACATCGAAGATGTGAGGAATCTTGACGTTTCTATTTATCTACATGAAGCAGGGGTGTTGATTCATGACAGAACTGTTAAAAGGCAAACTGCTCTAAACAATTACCTTCTAACTTTAATAAAGCACTTGTTCCAGTAGGGAGTCTCTTATCCTGCAGATGGACTTCAGTTAATCTCTTTACTTCGTAGTTAAATGCAACTCATCTGAAGCTGAAAACTGAACTTACATAATAAGAATGCCAGTAATAGATTTCCCTTTTTGAACTGGCGTCAACTCCCTTGAGAAATTGTTCAACAAGCTTCTGAATTACAGAAAACCAATAATGTTACATGCTATATATTTGTGATAATTTAGTGGAAAGCTCTATAAAGGTCTGGTGGACATTACCAGAAGAATCAGTTTTGGATGAACAAAATCCGCTAGAAGTTTTTGAAATTTCCCTCGGATGAAGGATATTCTGTTGAATCAGGGATGCCCAATATTAGACTTAATTGTTTGTTTGGTTAAAGAAAGGTTTTGCTTTGAAACAATCCTTCTGTTTATGCAAATGCGCTTAATATATTTACATTTTTCTCATTTTTAATAGGTAATAATGCTGAGGAATGCCCTGAAAAACTCCTCCTTGGATGACAAGCTATAGCATCAAGAAGCGCCTGTTACTCAATAAATTTCAAGTTTTTACCTCTTAGGTGATGGATCAGCTAGAATTCCTGCAGCAAGTTCAACAAGGACCTCTTCCCATCCTAGTGCGATTGGTTGATCCTCCGAAAAAGGGTAGCTATACAGGGTTGATGCCGAAGTTAGTCCGAAGATAAAAGTACCTAATGCATCCCTCACTATTTACAGACTTACTTTTGTGCTTTACAAGCTTCAAGTGCCATAATTGCTCCCCTCATATTTTGCTTTGATTTGTTAGCAATTCTAGCTGCAAAACTCATGGGTAGTTCAAATTCTTCTTTTCCGGCTATCTGGATTAGAACTTCTATAATCTAAGAAATAGGAGAAGGAGAAGTCAGGCAAGAAAGAACTTTCATAAACAAACAAAAAAAAATCTGATAATTAGTAGACTAGTAGAGCAGTATGTTCCATGGTGGTTTCCAACAGTCAAAAGACTGAATATCAGGTAACTATGAAAGATTAGCAAGAAGACTTACTTCATGAGTGACTGGAGCTTCAACATTGATAACCTTACAGCGGCTTTTAACATGTTCAAGGATGTTTACTTCATCTTCACAGCAGAGAATGAGTTTACAAGCATCAGAGTAACAGTCCATAATCCATTTTATCAAATGTTGTATGTTATCCGCAGCTTTATCAACATCATAGAGAACCATTACTGTAGTAAACGACATATATTAAACTTAACTGAATTTCAGAAAAAAAGAAACATGTTAAAAGTAGAGTATCTCCATGTGTTTATGGAAGCTGCTTGCCTTTATAGTCTGCCTTCATATTGACGTTGCTGATTTCTCGGATGACAGCATAGTCGGTGCTTATTTTCTTGACTAAAGCCATTAATGCATATGCAACATTAGGTTCTGAAGAAACATTGAACTCCACATGGTGAGGACTTGAGCTTACGGGAACAATTGCTTCCATTGGCTTTGTTTCCTGTCAAGAGATAAAGATACATACACCTTAGACTGCCAATAGGATAATAAGATGCCATATCTGATCCTATATATTCTTACAATTTTCACAGGATTTTGATGAGTAATGTGGTAAGTTCCTGAACTTTAGGGTCATTTACCAATCCTTTCCGTGCGATTGTTAATATAAATCGGAACAAACACTACTCTAGAGTGTGTAGAATCAATCAGCATCTACAGTTATTCCTGAATCTGTATCAGGTGGATCTATATGTCTCACAGTGCTTCGTGTACAAGGAATAAAAATATCGAATCTTGCATAGCACAACAGTTCGTATTAGCATAGAGGAATAGAACAGCAAAATATACCTGAATGTGGAAGCAGTGCAAATCATGAGATATCTGCACCAAAAAGGGGAATGTGTGACTATGACTATGCATCTTAAAGTAAACCGTTGTCTTAGATTTTTCCGTTTACTAATAAGACACATACATTACGAACTGTGTCCCCATAGATTTCAAGCAGAAGAGCCATTGTTAGTGACTTCTTTCCTGAACCAGGGGGCCCCTTAAGCAAGATGTGTGGGATTTCACTCGTAGCCTTCACAGAAAACACAAATACATAAAAAGGAAACTGCACTATTGGACATAAAAAAACTGCAATTCAGTGATTGATGGTGTGCTTGATGCTGAAACAAGTTCTTTCAGGTTCTGCAATTTGTTTAGTCTTATCATTACAAAAATCTACTTGGCGGTAACTAATAGCTTCTTTTTTTTTTTGGGTATCATTTTTGTTATATGATAACAGCTATTTGCAAGAGTTATTGCAGGTCATTTGATTCAGGATAGGAGAAACTTACAAGTTGCTTAAGGTGCAAAGCCTCGTGCTCGTGGCAAGTGAATTCACTTAATGAAGAAGGTCGATGCTTATCAGCCCAGAATTGTCTGAGACTCTCGACCACAAATGCCTTTCCAATAATCAAAGCCTCATAGGATCCTCGCGGTTTCTCAGGAGATTTCTCTGATGCCCTGCAGGAACCCCTCTTGATGCAAGAAAACCATGCGTCTGTTTGGCTTTTTTGTCTGTTTGCTAAGAAATTTTTAATGGTCCCATTTGTCCTTCCACTAAATTCACTCAAGTTGCTACTCTGCCTACTAACACCAAAATTGGAGTTGGCAGTTGTTTGTGTTGATACATTGCTTGCTGTAGCTGAAATCTCTCGGATGTTATGATTAGGCCATGGATTTGCTTGGTTCCGTTTATGAAAACCAGGATTGGTATGGATAAGAAATTCAGGCTTTTCGCTGAACTTGATGTCAGTGCCATTTTTTGTGGAAAAGATACTGTTCTGCTTTGTGAAGGCACCGTAGTCCCTAGAAAAGAAGATGTCACCTGGGCCAATGGAATCTGTGCTTTCAAAGTTAGGATCCATTCCAGTTGGAGCCCCAGCAGTCTTCACATTAGCCAGCATTTCGTTAATTTCACCACCTGAAGGAGCTTGTTTATGAGAACCATCCCTTTCCTTCCTGGATAAGTTCCTCCTTAACGGGGATGCTGTCCTTTCTGGTTTACTTCGCTCCCAATAACTCTCATTCTTGATCAAGTCTTTCTCCTTGAATGTTCGCTTAGGAACAGAAGCAGCCCTCCTACCACTATAAGTAGATGTATCATTCACCTTGCTAACATCATCACTAGCTTGCCTGAATTTTCTATTGGAACTGGCAATCTTTCCATTGTCCAATTGATGATCCTCCAATGCAATTTTATATGGGGAAACATGTCTCCTTAGCTCGGATTTCAAGAAAGGACTATCTGGAAACTTTCTATGATGGACAGGTGAGTGAGTATTACCTTCATCTCTTGGAGCAGCATAAGGTGACTTGCTGTGCCTCCTTCGAGCAGGGCTGGCGGCTGAAGCTCTCAAGGGATATGAGCGATCATAATCATTCCTTCGGGCATTTCTTCTGTCGAAAGGGCTCCTGTTTCTGGTCTGATCTTGCAAAATCTTTGGCCCTGCATCATTCGATTCTTCATCTTTTTTATCAGCATCATTCCAGGGACTGTCCTGCCATTCAGCCTCCGTATCAGAGGGTTCATAACCACTTCTTCTCTGCTTCACCTGAGCTGAAATTCGAGAATGCATTGGTCTGACACGAGTTGATGGTACAGTATATTTCGAGTTCAAATAGAACAAACAATCCAAAAGACAAAAGCTTTTTCTTGTGAACCCAAAAGGCAGGTATAGACAAAGAACAAGATCAGCAACAAGTCTCTGAAAATCATTGGAGAATATCTTGATCAAGAATATAGGGAATATTTGGGATCATCGAGAAATTCAAGGAATATTGGTCATAGTTCAAGCTAAGTGAAAACATGCATGAGAATTTAGTAAGTGCACTCGAGAAAGGTAGTCAATTGAGGATGATGAGAGCGATGCTAAAGCGTTGGTGGGGGAGGCGGAAATTCTTAAATTTGTGAAAGCGATAAACATGAAGTGGAGGCATCGACGAAGACGATAAAGGTGGCGGGAAGTATAGACAACAGATTACAGCAATTTTAGCACCATTTGATGAAGGCGAGACGGCATAGCCGATGAAAGCACCAGCAAGCACCCAGAGACTAGCAACACCAATTTTAACAGAAAAACAAAGAGAAATATATATGGGGCAGCAAGCTAAGATACTAAGTACTCGAAGCCAGATTAACAACAGATTTTGATTGCTGACTTCGTTCCACAAAAGAGCTAATGCACAATCCTGTTTTCGATAGAATTACTATATTGAGATATCATCATATTGTTGTTCTCCTCCAAATTTACATGCATTTTTTGTAGTCGAGATATCCAATGAGTTTTCTCAATTTTAGTTGCTAACCGGCATATTAACACTGTTCATATCGTCTTCTAGGTCATGGAATGTCTAATCAAAATTGTAATAACTCAGCATTGAATTTCTTCACCCCCCCCCCCCTTCTCTCTTTTTTTTTTTTTTTTTTTTTTTTTTTTTCCGTTTAATGAAATCTTTAATGAAACCGCTAATCACCTCTTAACGTACGCCCTCCAGTGTTTTTTCGCAAAACTTAAAGAAGAAATCCAAGTGTCCCGTTTTTAAAACTCACGCCCCGAGAGGTCTGAATCAAATGAGCAGAATTACAGCTGTTTATATCTCGATGTTTTCTGCAATTCCTTGGGCCAATGACGAAGGAAACCAGGAGCATAGATAAATTTGTCTTGCGTTCTCCGGACTTTAGCCGTGGGCAGACAGGGTTCCAAATTATAAAGCGGGGGGTTGGTGTCGTCACTCACTTTCTTGAATATGTAGTTGTGTTAAGGAAAGGATACATTACTGAGGGGATGCCAAGTCGAAGTGGACGGATTCCACTATCTGATCACATCATGACTTTGTGTACACAAAACATATTTGGGCGTGTGGTATTGTCATATGCTGGACAATTTCAAGGTTGCAAGAAAAAGTATGGGCTATATTTTATTTCAGACACATTCATGACACTCCTCCTATGAGAGATGAACAATCACAGCACATTTCTAGTAATACATAAGAAACTGCTACAAGAAAACTGGTAGACCGTAAACATTGGTTGATCTGAAAGTCTCTGAGCTAATCTGATACAAATTGGTTGAGGTACTCATCAAGTGTGGTGTATTTCACATCGGGATAGAGCTCCGACGCCTCCACGCCAAAAGAAGCCTCGATCTCAAAGTTGGCCATTTCTCCCTTCACGAAAATTGTGTATCCCACAGACAGGAACAAATTTAATGGCATTGTAGCCTCTGCAGCAGATACAAGAAAAGAAAGCAATTTAATTAAGCAGCACAACAGGTGTTACTACTAGATGACCATTGTATCAAAAAAAAAAAATTTTTTCTGAATTCCATAAGATAGGTCGAGGAATAAGCAAACCTTGAATTTTCTCGAGGACTTCCTTCTCTGGCAGGTAAATCTTTTCGAGGGTCTTGCCAATTTTCTTTTCCCACAATGATACTATTTCGTTGCAGGACAAAGTGTTGGCAGGGGGTCTGAGGTGCACAATCTTGTTCAGAGTCCTTGGATCATCTGCTGCTTTAATGGTGTATGCAGCAATGTCTTCTTCCTTAGAGAAAACAACTGCAACGGAACGTAAAAATGAAGAAAAATTAAGAACGATGATCTCTCTAACCAATCAAGAAAGGCGTAGCTTCTTTTGGATACCTTTTGAATTTCCATCACCAAGAATGCCAATTTTGTCTTTTGGAGGAGTTGCAGAGCTAAAGTCTCCAAAGAGGTTAAGGAAACAATTCAAATAACCAGCAAAACCATTAGATACTAAGTAAGTGTAAGGTATCCCTGCAGCCTCGACAGCTCTGCGGATCTCAGCTTTGGTCCTGTACCAGCTTGCAGCAGGCTCAACACAATGCCAACGATCCGCGTCACCTCCAAACTCAGAAGGTAAAAATCTCTGAAACCAAATATAGCTCTTTGTTCAGGAACTTGTAAGTTGACATGAATGACGAAAAAAGAATTTGTTCAGGAGCAAATCAACCGGATCCGCCATGTTACAATTCTTAAAAGAAAAAGAATCAAGATAGAATATTTAACATTGTATTGTGTTTACTTTGATGTTACCGGCTTCTTTAATTGCTGCAATGATCTTAACTTGATGAGCTACAACTTCCGTCCCTCCCCCTACTGTTGAGATGACAATATCAACTTGTTTGATTGCATTTACCAACTGCTGATGATTGTACAAATCTCCCTGTTCAGTCCATGCACGTCAGTTTCTGTAATTTCTTGAAGAGAATTGAAACAATATTCAGATAATGAAAAAGAAATAACAACACACATAGAGAGATGTGACTCCCAAACTCTTGAAGCTCTCTATGATCGCTGCCCTTTTAGGATCTGAAATTGTGCTTTCTCGGACCAATGCAAACGTTGGGTGCCCTGCTTTTGCACTTGCTTCCACTATATGTTTCCCGATATATCCAGTGGCCCCGACGATCAAAATCTTGCTTTTCACTGCCATTTCCAACTGTAGGATAGTAAACTACGGTTGCAAATTAGATGGACGCTGTAAATTGATGAGTTGAACAGATGCAGAAATGTGCTTAGTAGCGCCTGCAGGCTGCGGCTTCGAGGCTTGTGCATGGTTAATTTATGGAGGAAAAGGTGTAGAAAATGACAACCCCGTCGCTGCATCTTCCTTTGACTGCCCTATTGGTTGGACCGAGGGCGTGCAACGTGATCCGAAGAATCCAATGACCTGATCCAGATTTGATCCGAGTTAGCGGATATCCGATTCGGCGGCTCATATGTGAATCGGGTCACATCCGAGTCAATGAATTATGCTAATCAGATTCGGAAATTATTTTTTGTGATTCATGGATATTCGATTCAGTCTGCAATGATATATTTTTTAAATTTTTTATGCATTAAATCTAGTAGTAATTTGTTATAGTTTTATCTCTTATTTCTTATTTTTATTTTTATGTCCTCTTTCAAACATAGGATTTATTCATACATGGTGTTAAGTTTTTAAACATGTTGTGATATAATTTATGGATAAAAAATTATAGATGAAATATTTAATCTTGTTTGTTTGAATCAAAATAAGAAAAAAAAATGTGGAACTTACTTCGTATTGCAACAAAGAAGATTATTTTAGACTAAAATCTCTTTTTTTTAATGATTAAAAACTTGTATCAAAGTACAACTTATATGATATTTTTGAAACTCTATTACATTTACATTTCATTTTATCTTTGGGATTTTTAGCTTTTTTTAAAGGAAATTTTAAAAAATGAATGCAAATCGGATTTTCTGTTGGGCCAACCCACATAATGCGGATACCCGGATATCACAAAATGACTGACCCGATTTTTACGGATCGGGTCACTATTTTCCGAAATTTCTAATGCTGCTCCAGCGATTAGTCAGTGGAAGATTCCCACGGAGTTTCTGACTAATTCCTGGCACTAAATGATTCTTTTTGGAGAGCACGCGCAACTGCACGTGTCGTGAAACATTTGGTACAAATTTTTTAAGGACTTTTACATGATGATGATTACCTGGGTGCATAAAAAGATCTCTCACTTTGAGAGAAAATTTCTCTCTGTCCTAGAGAGAGAAAGTCCCCCTTGTGGGTGGGTTCTTGTTTAGGAAAGTTCATCTCTCTAGGTTTTGGCGCCAATTTTAAAAGCTTTCTATTCCCGGAAACTAACAAATTCCTTCCATTACTCATGATCACGTTGTGGATGTTTGCTCGAGATAGCTTTTGTTATTGTTTGATCTGATGCGATGAGATGTGGTCTAATTGCATCTAATCGATCAGCTCCTGTGTTTCGATTATCGATTTGTTCGCATTGTCTTCTTTCTACTCTGATCTGTTTGTTTTCTCTATGTGTGGCAGTTTTAGCTGGTGCTGGGAGCTAATAAGGAAGCATCGAAGGACTCGGACGGACTCTGGCTTTGTGCTGGATTGGTAGCTTCTGGAATTCTCAAGTGTATGGTCTGTGGAAGGAGGAATGGACAATATTGAGGAGGTTTTACGGAAGTTTAAGCTATCAGAGGAAGAAAAAGATGGAGTATGTTTGGAGGAGGAGGAGATGGCGCAAGGTGTCAGGGAGTGCGAACTGAGTCTGATTGGGAAAGTCTAGGGGGATAAACTAGCAAATGTTGGTGGTATTAGGAGTTTTGTAGGGGTTATGTGGCCTCAGGTGAGGAATCTGAGAGTGGTGGAGATTGGTCGCAATCTGTTTCAATTCCTGTTTGAAAAGGAAAAGGACATGGATCTGGTTTTGAATAAGAGACCGTGGATCTATGATGGTCAACCTCTGATTCTATTGCGGTGGAGAGCTGGCCTAGAAGACGATGGAGAGGCTTTGAGTAAAACTTTGATATGGATTCAGCTATGGAATATTCCGATCCATTGGATCACCAAGGAGGTTGGCAGGAAGGTTGGAAGTATTTTTGCAAGGGTGGAGGATGTGATAATTCCCCAGGGAAGGGGAAAAGATGGTAAACATTTAAAAATCCTTGCTGAAATTGATCTGACAGTTCCTTTACCAAGGGGAATTATGGTTAAGAGTAATGGAATGGTGAAGTGGATTGAATTTAAGTATGAAAAATGCCCTGACTTCTGCTTTTG